TCTACTACCTCAATCGGTTCATCCGCAAGCACGAGGCTAGGGTTCGAGCCCACCCAATCTTGCAGTAGCACTTTACACTTTGCAGGTGTGAAGCGCATGCCGAACCGCGAGGCAGAATTATTTAGATTATTTAATATTGTTTGCATTACAACGGGATCAGATCCCGACACTGCTTCCAGCAACCAACAATGGTTGTGTTTCTTCATCTGAAAGCTGCCTTTGACTCTGTGGACCGCCAAGCACTATGGCAGTGTCTACGGAGCAACGGTGTCCCCCATAATTTCATGACCCTGACTAAAGCGCTGTACGCCAACTCCCGCGGCCGTGTAAAGGTCTACGGGAAGCTCTCTCCTGAGTTCACCACATCAAGTGGTGTCCGACGGCACTGTCCTCTTTCACCTTTCCTCTTCAACTTCGTCATTGATACGATAATGGACATTGGCTTGTTCGCAATCACATTGCCGATCTCAGCGAGCAAGCCAACAACCATTTACCATTAAAATTTGAGTTCAGTACTCCACTCCGCCATTTCGTTCTCACCGCGACCGACTTAGAGCACAAAGTGACTCAGGCCTAGAGCAAATCCCATCAAATGAACGGATTTTGTGTTAAGACTTTTGGAGAGCTGTCCAGTCATATTAGAGAAGCCTGTATTTCGGACGAGCGTACTCCGTCTAGTCTTGATGACGTGCAAACATTTACAATGAAACCGGTAAGACACCCTAGTCCCCACGTCAGAAAAAAGACCACGGGAGGCCCCCTTGGTCTAAATAACGCGTTGATTTCCTCCAAGGGAGAGGGAATAGAACTGATACTATACTGCACTTTCCACAAAACAGTAAAAGATTAAAATCAGTGAAATGATCACGTGATCCCCGAGAACAAAGCAGCAAACATTACAGCCGGAGCAGAAGATGGGCCCATTGCATGTGAAAGGCCAGCAGTTAGAAACGTCAGCTCCATGTCACTAAGAAATTGATTTTTGGTTTGAACTTTTATGCTATCCATAAATATATGCTGTGGCGTCGGTGCAAGGAGGTTTGCCAGTCACTAATCGAGAAGACCCCCAGACAGCAGCAAGGCGACTTTGTCGCATGATGTGACTTCGGTCGAGCTTTCATCGCTTCACAAATCAGCGACGCCCATGGCGTCCGGTTCATTCAAGCACCCTTTCAAATGCCGTGGACCAACCTTATGTGGTAACTGATGTCGATATTGTGGACTTGTGAAACCTACGCAATTGTATTCGTGTATGGTAATTCGCGGCGAGGTTCATACGAGAGTGCGACGGCGCCAAGCTGTTTGTCAATCCAGTTTTAAGGATTTTGTTGGACTGAAGCCCAAGTTTCTTCAGGTGTCTCAGAAAACTTGCCCCCTCCGAGAAAAGCATTCACGGCGGACTTATTCTGAGAAAGGATGAAGGGTTGTAGAACGATTCAAGGGATAAAGCGTAACTGACCAATTCTGGAGGTTGCCTTTCTAAAGTTGGACAACTTTTGTCAACTACTTCTTGCAAGAGACTATTTATAATCTGCCTCGCACGAGGCATTTTCGAGAAAAAGAATGACCTTTTGAGGAGCAGTTTTCCGTGAGTTCTCTTCAGAATCCGGTGACTGAGTTATCAGGAAGCGGTTTATTCCCAAATCATGGCAAAAATCCTAGGAATGAGCAGAGTATGCATGGAAACAGAACATGACGTTGAATTAGCGATCACTCTCTAGATAAAATGCTGCATACGATGGTGTCGAGTCCAATGTCCAGACAGGACCTTTGAAACCTCGATTAAAATTTGGATCCACTCACAAGTGTCCACTTTTCGTTCGTCCTTTGGTGTGTTCCTTTCAGAGGAGAAAGACTAAAGGAGGGCAATTAAATGACCAGCCAGTTCGGAAACTTTTAATGAAGCCAAGCTGATGCATATTTACCACGGACGATTTTTAAATCTGGTCTTTGTTTGGGGGAGGGGTGGCTGTCTGAAAAACGGGACTCGGAAAGGCTGTAATAACTACGTATTTGTCGTACAGTGGTTGTAGCTGACATAGTTTCGATAAGAATCCTTCGAGGAAGTCGGTCGGCTGGCATACGCAGCACAACCCATGCCTTGTGATCGGTTCATCTATCGTGAGTGAGTTATTTCTTCCGAATACCGTTCGACGTACTTCAGCATTACTGATCCGGTGTTCCTACCAGACTTGGACAATTCTCCGAAGACAGCGCTCGCCAAACTCTTTTGACGTCGTCAGCGCGCAGTGGTCGGGTTTATGACCTGCAGCATTGCAAACTCGACCCTTGACGGATAAGCTGTCACGCCTACGCCGCAGGTCCACAAAGACTGCTCTGGCCTCCCCAATCCAAAAGACATGAACTTTGAACCAAACCTCGCGAAGCCACACTGAAGTGACCTTAGCTGAAGTGAAAATATTTTCTGAAAGGATTGTACTGGTCAAAATGGTGCAGGATTTCTTTCAACTGCAACACGAAATCAGTGATTCAGTAGTTCTCCCCAGAAGGAGCATCTTAGTCAGGTCCTGTGGACAGTCCCTACTGGAAAAACACTATGCCGCACATGGAATATCTCGTCTTGCGGCAATCTCAGGGACGGGGGAGCCGTTAGATTTCAAAAGCTACACTGGGAGACTCAGCGGAATCCAGATAGGTTTCATGTTAATGACTGTGTTGCACAAAGGTAGTTTCATGGTTCGGCTGGTACGCTATTTGAGATATCGCAGTATATTTCCTTGATGAACAGACCACTCACAGGGTTGCTGGAAACTCTTCGACCGTCCACGACCGGATTCTTACTTTCTTGGGGACACGTGGAGGCCGCACTCACCTGACAAGTTTCTAGAAGGGTGAAACCGATCGTGATCTTACGAAGAGTTTTCAGCAATCTTACGGGTAGGTTGACTGTCTCTTTTCTTGTTTGCATTTTACCGCTTTTCCAGGTGGTGTTCTCTGGTAATTGCAAACCAAATGGGAATCCTGGATGATCGCATAGACGAGAAGGTGGAACTGTTTTATCCTAAACAGGACGAGAAACTGGACCAAATCACTGAAGTCGGCGCTCTGAACTTGCCCGAGAATGCGGTGATCCACGTGAAAACTCTCGTATAATTGGATTTGCTTGCTATCCCATTTCTGTTGGTCTCATTCCATTCGCATGTCTGGATTTCCGTATTTTCTGTCCACAAGTACCTCTTTAAACACTGACGAAATTCAGCTTTATTTTGCCACGCTTTTCCCTGCTGAAATATATATTGTTTATACATCAAGGGGTGATTTTCGATCCACGATAATTGTTGGCGGGGTGGTGAGGTGGGGGAATCCGTTATTCTCGAGACCTTGGCAACCTTGTTCTCGAGCCAAATTGACGTAGTCAATGCCGTCCACTACGGCCAAATAGGGGTAGCAATTGAGTATCGGAAAATTCAGTTTGGCTACGCTTTGTTCTCTGGAAGCCTAAGTACGCAGTAAACGTTTGTTGTAGTCTTACTCAGTCCGGGGTGGAATCACGGTGCTTTCTGTTCCGGCGGGAAGAAGACAAAACAGTGAGAGATTAGAACAAGGACTACTTGGTCAGGCACCGACTTGACTGCTTCAGCTAGCTAAAAGATAACCAGTCAGCTGTAACACCCTTTCGGTGCCTAGCTGCCATGCCACGCGAAGGAAGCACGAGGGCTGGGATACTGCCAGGTTGCCCAAGCCTAGACAGAGGAAGTCAAGAGGCAGAGGTCGGGCTCGAACCACAGACCCTCCGGTCAGCGAATTCGCGCTCTAACCACTTGAGCCATCTCTGCTTCAGCTAGGAAAGGATGAAATCGGCTAGTGGGGAACTTCCAAATTAGTAAACCAACAGAGCCCAAAAGTTAGGGATCAAGTCTTCGCTAATGTCCAGGCCGAATCGTCCCCAGGCTGGAATTTACGTAACCATCATCACTGTCAGCTGTAAGAACCGCGTACTTGTCGTACAGTGATTGCAGCTGCCGCAATTTCGTTCACCGATGATTGGGGGGAGGGGTAGGTAGCTGAGCATTGCAGGCGGGAGATGATAAGTTAGTGCATAAATCCAGCACTGTCAGTGGGAAGGGAGCTATGCATTGAAGGCAATAGCCTGGATGAGTGAGCGCCATTGAGGGCGGCGACTGTGCATGTCTGGCAGTCTCTAACCATTGATATGGCCCTTCTCGGGCCCCCTTCGGGTCATTCACTCCAAACAATACTGCGTGAAGCCTCAAGCAGATATTCAGCAGTTTGACTCGACCACTGTCCCCTCAGGAACAAGATTCGGAGTATGATGTTATAGGGAATATTGTAGAAGTCGTCAACCGGGCAGTTGGCATTGGATTCGTGCACATGGCTGAAGCGTGTCACGGCCTTCGAAAGGATGACAGCCATATCACGGCCCAACCAAACGAATCAACAATGAGGTAATACAGCTGGGAGATACCCACGATGGGAATACTCTCCCGGCACCCGACCATAAAGAAATTGCAGTCCAGGAAAACCAGAAGAATTAACCAACAATCCACATGCACAGTCCGAGCACAAGGCGACCAATGGGAATGTAATGCATGTCTCGAGTGCGTTAAGCGTCGAGGTTAAACTCAGTGGGCATGATCCCACGATAGACGAACTGATCTCACTGCACAGGTTGTGCTGTCTTGGTCACAGGCTCCGAATGCCAGTTGACCGAATTCCTCGAAGGGCTCTTTTCGCACGACAACGCGAAGTGTGGAAATGAGCTAAGGGAGGTCGAACGATGACTTGACTATAAAGTATCAGATCTATTACCAAGAATCAGTCTTGCTGACTATTGCCGTCTCCGAGACGGGACACATCACTTGTTAAGGACACTGTCAGACACGGCCCAGTCGCGCCCTCAATGGCGCCGATGCATCCTAACTTTCATTGCACAACTCCTCTTACGGTATCCCCAATCAAAAGTTCATTGAGCAACATGTATTTACGCGTCAGTTATATCAGCTACCGCCTTCAATGCGCAGTGACCTACCCTACCTCCTCAAATCATTGGCAAACGAAATCTTGGTAGCTGGAACCACTGTACGGCAAGTAGGCGGTTCTTACAGCTAGTGATGATAAAGTGATTTCAGCTGAGGACGGTCGACATCGATAGTATACATCTCCAAAAGATATAAGTTGGTAAGAGTTATATTTGTATATGAGTAGCCGGGGGAAGAAAGTGGATCTGTTCATTGCGATCGAATCGATATGCATGAGTACCATACTACACGAAAACCATACTATACTGTTATAGAAAACCAGCCAAGCTTAATTTTCGAAAAATAAATTCTATCACATAGCTGTCACGACCGTCTGCCGAGACGAATGTTCTCGTGCCTCCTTCAGGATGGCACCAACCGCGAGGTGTACAGCACATGACTTGGCAGAAAGGCGTCAAAGAGATCACGAAGAGTCTGGGTATTGTTGGTGTTGTACGCCTTCCAGGATGGGTCCCCGTAATCCCGTTTGAGATTGGCTGGAGACGCTGCGAGAAATGGCGGCTAATCGATGTCAGTGGCGTTCGTGCTGTCAGTTTCTTTCCAGATTGTCTGATGAGAGGAGCTTTTTTGAAGGCAACACATGGAAGCAACCACCTCAGAGCATCCTCACAGTAGGTGCCAACCAAAATAAGCACCCGATTAAACAACTCCAAGGGGATCAAAATTATCTCGTCAGTTATAAAATAAATCAGACTGTAATGTACAGATTGAGGAAATATTCAGATGAGAAACAGGTTTCACCGCAGCAATACAGATGGTTCGATTGGGAAAATTCGCACTGTCGTATCGTCTGATGCTGAGAAGATGAACTTTTCCACATTCGGTTGGGTAGAAACTACGTCCCCCAGTGCTAGATCGAGAACCATCGCGTGGTGACCCCGCCAAACAGCCAGTGGCTCAGGGGCTTTAGCGAAACCGCTGAGGTCAGCTTCGTTCCCACTGGAAAGACCAGGCCAGGCAACCACTTCGCCATTGGAGGAGGAGGTGAAGAAAACTGGTTGTGCACGACTCCATCGAAGGCAAATGATGCTAACAGAGCCACCATCCTTCAAGAAACAAAAGAAATTTTTAAAAAAATCATGTTAGGCGGTGCAGATAAGAGTGGAACGTGAAATGGTTTGAAAGAAAATGTCCCTTGGATTGGTCAAACAACTTTAAGAAGTCTGGTACCTATACAAACGGCCAAAATGATCATGGTATATGCATCTGTTTGATAGAGTTTGGAAACATAGTATTCTTGCCAACTGTTGCCTACTGATCCGCTGTGGTGGACTAATCTTTGGTGTAACTGAGGAGATAACTTCACTGACAAGTCATCAAAAAGTATCAGGCACGTCGGAACAGCGTAGAGGGAATTAACCTCTCTAGTGCATTCACACCCAGCTGTCAACATGCCATGCAGACGAATGTCCGTAACCACGCAAAAGGAAGACAACCTTGAGACTTTGTCCTGAGTAGTGCTCACTAGGATTTGCCGCATCGTTCCAGGACATGCCATCTTTGGCACGTGGTGAATCTAAGAAAAGTGGTGCTGAAACAGCCCTGGTAAACAATGTCTGACATTTGGAGATTTCATCCTGTAAGTGAAGCCAATCTATGCTGAAAAGCCGGGAAGCACTGTACAGCTGTTTCATCCTTATTGGGAATCATCAGCAGTGCGCATCTCACGAAACTCTGGAGAGCCTCGGACCCGCGACCTCCTGGTTAGTAGTTTGAACCGTCCGGCCACGAGTGGCTGATCAGCAATGTGATTAACTCGCATTTGGACGGGATATAGCGCCGCTCATCCTTCAATCACGGGATCCACACCACGCGGTCTGATCTGTGCTGCGCCATGCATAGGGGCCCATTAGCCGTACAATGCTCTCAGCTACTGGAAACCTTTGCGTGTGGAGTAAGACTTCTTGCGCCAGAATGTTGCATTTTGTTGTGTGTGGGTGCTCCAACGAAAAACCATCCTAATATGTGTTCAGCACACCAAATTCCATGATCCACGGAAGCAATAATACCGCTCAAGGAAAACGTCTGGTGGAATACTTCCCTAGCATCGCTGAGGCCCCGGAATGCCTAGATGGGGCTCAGAAGTTTAAACTTGTAGCTGTGATACTACTGATGGGGAGACATGCGAGTAGTATAGTTTCTTCTTGTAAATCGGTCGTGCGTCTCTTGAAAAGTGACATCTATTACGAAATTTGTGGAGTCATTCTGTAGCATTTGCTTGCAATTGAGTAACAGTCAATGATTATCCAGGAATGTTCAGGAAGACGCATTCAAAGAGAAGAGGGATGTTCAGTTCAGTTTTGTAAATGCATATGAGAGTTTCGCTCCCCTGTCCAACAGTCTGTCACGGTTCAGTTAGCATTTTCTAATAAATAACTCCGCAGCGAAGGCCTTCTTCCTTTCACCGGTACCTTGAACTCAGTTGCCTGTCTGTTTAAGTCCTTAAGGGACAGGTCGTAGCTTTCGAAAATTAAATTACATTGTGCGAATACCAAGCGCCCCCAATATCACGATAAAGATCGGAATTAGTTTTCACACACCACAGGCGAACTAAAACAAAGACGTTCCCTTCACTGTTTCAAGAACCTAAAGTGTACTGCTTGGTCTTGAACCGTCGTTGCACATTCATTTCGGAGATAAAAGGTGTGAGGAGATAGGCTTCCCAATACACGTGCGGCATACTTGGTCTGTGTACGTCCATTTTTGCCGGACGCGTAGCTTGACCGTATCCACGATCCCGACCGTTCCTTCCACTGTTCCATAGGCCAGATAAGGATGACTGCAGAAAGAGGAAAAAGGTCAAATGAGCATTCATGCAATAAAAGCACGTCATATAGTGTTTACGAGTAACCTGGGGGTGAAGTGGAGTTTGGGTAGAGGACATCTGAAAACTCCTCGAATCATCATCATCATTAGGCCAGATATGACTGCAGAAAGAGGAAAAAGGTCAAATGAGCATTCATGCAATAAAAGCACGTCATATAGTGTTTACCAGTAACCTGGCTGGGGGATGGAGTTTGGGTAGAGGACATCTGAAAACTCCTCGAATCATCATCATCATCGACAGCATGACATCAGCGTTCAACACCAATGCTTCACTGCCGCACAACCATGATTTATTTGAAAGCCTTATTGCGAAGAAAAGAATAAAGGTGGACGGGGAAGGGACTTAGTGCTAGCTTACCACCATCGTTCCGAAGTGCATATACCTCCGGACATTCACTCAGGCGATCTGGATAGAAACTGACAACAAGAACGCCACTGACATCGGTTGGCAGCCATATCATGTAGTGTCTCCAACCACGCACAGTGAGGATCACGCGGTCCCCATCCTGGAAGGCGAGTAGCACCGACAGCACCCAAGCGTTTCGTGATCTCCTTCATACTC